AAGGGAGCTTACACTTTAAAAACCATGGCCAGAAGGCTGGTCAACAAGCCATGGAACGCTACGTCTCTGAAAAGGTATTATCAATAGAAAATCGAGTTCCAATTTTATCATCGATCATTCTCAAATTGTGTACGCACGAATGAATGAAATTTTGAAATCTATAAAGAGCTATCTTCTTATGAAAAAATTGAATGTCTAAAAATTAGCAATGTAAGTGGCAGCTGGTACTATGAGCCGAACGCCAAAAACTTGCCAAAAAATAAAAGAGTAAAAGTGGCAAGTGGCATTCTAGTCGAGCGCCAACCACTCAGCAAAGTAAGTGGCAGCTGGCACTATGAGCCGAACGCCAAAAACTTGCCAAAAAAAAAAAAAAAAAAGAGTGAAAGTGGCAAGTGGCATTCTAGTCGAGCGTCAACCACTCAACAAAGTAAGTGGCAGCTGGCACTATGAGCCGAACGCCAAAAACTTGCCAAAAAATAAAAGAGTGAAAGTGGCAAGTGGCATTCTAGCCGAGCACCAACCACTCAGCAAAATAAGTGGCAGCTGGCACTATGAGCCGAACGCTAAAAACTTGCCAAAAAAAATTAAAAGAGTGAAAGTGGCAAGTGGCATTCTAGGCGAGCGCCAACCACTCAACAAAGTAAGTGGCAGCTGGCACTATGAGCCGAACGCCAAAAACTTGCCAAAAAATAGAAGAGTGAAAGTGGCAAGTAGCATTCTAGCCGAGCGCCAACCACTCAGCAAAGTAAGTGGCAACTGGCACCGTGAACCGAACGCCAGAAACTTGCACAAAAAACTTTTGCGGTGACACACTAGCTGAAAGCCAACCACTGACATACAGAGAAGAACCAGATCAGATAGCATTAAATCATTAAATCAAGGGATTTATGGTAAGAGTTTGATCAAAAGTCTGCCATCTCATTAATGATGAAGTTTAAGAGTTACAAAAAATGATGAGGTATACAGATGGCAAAAATATAAAAGAAGGAAGGTTAATACATCAAAAAGGTTCTAACTAGAAGCATTTGCCCCGTTAGCTTCTTGATGGTGCTAAACGGCCTCCTCATCATTGTTGGCGTTACCATCCTCACTGGAAGGAGAATTAAGCTGAATGACAGAATCATTCTGCTGAGTCCTATCCTCAATAGCATTGGAAGAATCATTCCGCCGAGGGTTATCTTCAGCAGCAGTGACAAATGGAGTCACGGTGGACAGAGGAAGAACGTCTAAAGTCAGAGCGGTAGAAGGAGTAGGAGTGATCCGGGAAGAGGCAATCTCTTGGCACTCATCAAATATGCCCTCAGCAAGGGTGGAGTCTGGATTGGCATAAATTCCCAGAGGATCAATCTCCAGCTCCCTATCAACCTCATCAGGGGTAGAACCAGTCTGACCCTCACCCGGAACACGGGCATAACCCTCTCAGAACCCCTGAGCATATCTGAGGGCCCTAACTCTGGAAAACCGAGCGTGCAGAGCTAGCATACCACCATTTACCCTACTAATGGTGTCGAGTAAAGCATTGCGCTCGTCTAAAGCCCTTTTCTCAAAGGCCATCCGAGCGGATTGCTCATCACTCAGAAGGCGTAGCAGTTCTTCCTTTTCAGCCTTAAGGGATTCTCGCTCGGTATGCCAGACGCTCTTCTCGAGCTGCAAAGCATTCCTCTCATCCTGAAGAGAGTCCATCTCCTTCTTCAGGGAGTCCCTCTCTTTTTCAACTTTGCCAAGCTGAACCATCAACCCAGTCTTCTGAGCAGCCAAAGCATTGTTCTCCTTATTAGCTGCACTAAGGCTGTCAGAGAGCGTGCGAACCTTGGCATTCACTGGCTCAACCTGCTTTTGCATAACCATCATCTCGTACAGGGTCTGTAGAGATATACATGACAACTAGTTAAGCCGAGCAGATGGTTAGAAGAAATCAAGTGTAAAGACTATATAAAGATTCATTGACTAAGAGGCAGAAGTTACCTCCGTGGCAGATAAGGGAAACCGGCTGAACACTTCCTTCTGAGACAGACCCTTGGCTACCTCAATGTCCTTAGGAGTCCACATGCTTCTGTAGTATGCCATAGCGGTCTGACCATCCTTGAACATGGTCTTATTCGGCTTTACAGACGATCCGTCTGTTCGAATAAAGCGAAGGTTCCATGGTGCCGTTCCTGAGGCAGAGACATGCCCAGAAGGGGTAAGAGGCCTAGTTAGAGGAGGCCTGGTTAGAGGTTGCACGGACACATTCGGCCCAGAAGGCCTAACCCTCTATGACAAAGGAACGTCATCGAGGCTCAGGGCACTGTCAGGCTGATGCCTTTTTCCTCTTGTCTTTTCCCGTGCGGAAGAAGTAGTAGAGCTGGGAAGGTTGCTGACAGAGGGGGTCACATTCGGACTAGCGGTTGTTGTGTTGGAGATCGGGTCAATAGCCATCACAATCGGATCGGTGGAATGAGTGGAACCAGAAATGGTGGCGGAGGAAGATACTGAAGCCGGAGAAGAAGTTGTTGCAGGGGCAACAACGGGCCTGGGGGCAGTTTTCCTCCTGCCAAATGAAGGGATCTGGAGTTGACTCATTGTCTTGCCGAGAGCTGAGAGAGCAAGGAGGTTGTCTGAAGTAAGGAGGTCCGAGCAGGAGGGAATGTCGGTCAGAACGTACTGCTTCAGGTAGTTATCCCTATCCCTGCACACACCGTAACTCAAATCATCACAAGGAATACCTAAGGAACGGCACAAGAAAGTACAAAAGCGAGGAATGCAAATCTCGCAAGGACAGTCACTCTTATGGGTTTTGTATTTTTTATAAGAAGAGACAGAGCACTCTCCAAAAGCGCTCGGGATAGGGAAATCCTCTGCAGCTGGAGAAAACCAGGCTCCCTTAACCCCGATTATATTTTTCCTCCAACCTTTCTCAGATTTGATCTTATCTTTGCAAATGGACCTCTTCTCAATGGGGTAGAAGTGGTAAAACGGTTCATCAATTCTGATTTTGCTAACCTTGTAACAGAGGAGAAGATTTACGAAGTCCAGATCTAGACCTCTGTCACGGATCAGAAGCAACGTAACAGATAAAATCTTAAGGAAGTTTGGGTTTACTTGCAAAGGGGAAAGTTTCAGTTTATTAAAAACGTAGCAAAAGAAGGGATGCAAAGGGAACCTAAGGAGGTTAAGATGAAGATGTGAAAACTAAACCTCGCCGGGAAGAAGGCCAGCACCGGTTCTAATATTCACCTCTTTAGGGCAATTTCTAATTTGTATATCGTCAGGAAGGTGAAGTCTCATGCGAAGAATATCTAGATCTACAGTCATGGTGAGAATGAACGAGGATTTTAAGGAAGAAAAAGAGGTCTTCCGAAAGAAAAAGGCAAATGAAACTAACCTCAGAGTGTGAGAACGTCAAGGAGTACTGCAAGGTCGCTGGAAAAATGAGCTTTTGTAAGAAATCGCCGGAGAAGATTCGAGCAATGAAAAAGTGAGATGGAGACGATAAAGAGAATCGATGGAATATCTATGAGGCTTATAAAGACAAGGTGGGCCCGAGGGCCGAGGAGTCAGGAAAACGAGGAGTTTTTTGAATCTCGAAGCACCGACACCCAAATCTAACCGTCCATTCTCCCATGCGATCTTCTCGAGCCGTCAAGTCATGATTAGCAGCCTCTAATAATTACCCCCTAATTATTAGGGAGTAATTATGGGAGCAGTTGAGGATACAATAAGTGATATGGACCGGTTATAGTTCGCTGGCTTGGAATCGGGGCAAACAATTGAAGTATAACCCATACAAAAGCACCATGGAATAGGCCGAGCTTGGAGGATCCACTGAAGATGACCGAGCCCATTGGAAAGAAGGCCCAAAAGAGATAGACCAGCAGCACTGGTAGTTGCCTATAAAAGGACAGTGAAGAGAATGAAATAGGGGAATGGATTTTTCATTATTGAAAATGTAACAAGATTCTGTCAAAATAAAGATAAAAAAATCTTTGCATCTTCATATTCCAAGTCATGTCGTTGTATTCTTCCCTGTAATTTAAATTTATTCCACATCGACTCACTATTGCAAGTCTTTTTCTTTATTTAGATTCAGGGACAAAAATATCACCAGCATCAAAAGTTGAAGTTACAGATGCATAAAACCCAAAAACAGTAACCCAAAACATATTTCATCTGTTTCAAAAAAAAAAAAAAAATTGTCATATTTTATTTTTTTATTTTTCTTAAAATAATTATTCATTTTCTTTTTTCAAACAATATATTTTACAATATTTTATATATATTTTTTGAATTAAAAATTTTATAGGCCGAAAGAAATACTTAAAAGCAATTTAAACTTGTTACAAATGGACAAAGTGCAATCAATCAAGTAATAATATAAATGAAAAACACACACCACAGTGGTTTCGGATTATATAGCTTTCGGATTATATAGCCCGTGTACACAATAAAGATAGCTAAAAATATTTGAAGGAAAAAAAGAGATTTACGGTCTCATTAACCTTAATCCCAATATATTCTTTTTGTGTATCATACTCTTACCTATTTTGGGTTTTAGTATTTTAAGAAAACGAACCTTTCTTACCGGATACAACAGAGACTTGAAATCGAATAGAAACCGTAAGACAAAAAATGGTTAAAAAAAATTTGGATCAAAATCCGGTGAAACAAGAGTTTTGAAGCCACAATAATGACCAAAAATAAAACATAAATAAATTGCACTTTTTTTGGGGTCACCAAACTATGATTCTGACGATTGCGGTTGAAACATGGAGGGAAGAATATACCAACAAACAGATATTTTGGAATGCTAAAGAAGTCGTGTGGAATTAAACTAACTAGTAAAAACAAAGTAATCTGTACGGACAGACAGCGGTTGGTCATTGCATAGAATTCCATCAATATTTTTAAATTTTGTTAAAAATATTCAAATCACTGTCCTACACTGGTCCAAGCCATGGGCCATCTCTAGCACCGTGAAAGTTCCGAGTAGACAGTAATGAAAATTACTTGTGAAGCCCCCAGTAATGAAAATCTATTCTTCTTTCTTCATCTTTTTTCTTTCTTTGTTTTTTTTTCCAAATTTATTCTTCATTGACTGACTAAAACAAAGTCTTTCTCTTTGTTTAAGTCTTGTGGGCAAATCATTTTATTATATACCTAAATTACAAGGAAATGAAACTCATTCTCTTTATTGTCCATCTCTTCTTGCCGAGTTCTCAAGAAGACCTAACCAAACAGAGAAGATGAATCAATTTTCCTTGTCTGTAACAATCTCATGCTTTCTTTTATTTTGTTTTTTATATAACAAAGCTATGTAAATTTATCAAACAAGACAGATAATTATCATGTCTAAATTCCATTTTTTTTTTTTTTCACTTTTTGGTTGCAGGTTCAGCAGTGGAATAGAGTCAGCAAATTTGGTAGTGAGCTCAGATCTCCTCCAACAATCATGGAATGAAAATGAAAAATTGAAACTTAACGGGGACAACAATCAAAGTGATCCAAATTTGCTTCCCTCTCTTAAGTACAGAGATTATACACATCAACTCTTTGGTACTATTGTAGCTTTTGGAACTTCACCCACTTGTACCGTACAACATTTTGAAGGAGTAGGCAGAGAACTAATTTCATCGGAAACTCTTAGAAGAGATTCTTTTCCTTGCTTTGATTTTCTCAGGACCAAAAGCAACCAAGCCTTCTCCATTCACAAAGATGCAATTTCCCTTTTTCGATCTCGGTACAATGAGCTCTCTGACCTGAAAAAAAAGCTGGTAACACTTCTCAACTTCTATTTGTTATGTTAGTTATGGCAGTTTGTGATAATTGACCAATTTGAGAAAGATTAGACCATATGAAAATGTGTGTGTGTTGTGTTTGCCATTCTGATCCTGTCGTATGACTCAAATGAATGCATAATCAATTACCCTTTTGGTTGCCTTTATCAAATTCTACAAAACAATTCAGTAGAATAGATGTTTGCAGCTCATTGCACTTCTTGCATAAACAATGGGGGGTGTGTATCTGTGTGTTGGGGGAGACTGGCCTTCTGATCACAAGCATGAATATATTAGTATCAAGATTGACATTACATATCATTTCTAGTTCATGGAATATTAGTTTCGTAATGAGCAAATCCAAACCCCAACTGATATTGGGATTCATTGTAGCCTCATAGTCAACATTGGCGGCATTTGTACCACAAAACAACTGATGACAATTAGACACCTTTGCATTGAAATATTTGCAGCCCAATGGGTGTCACCAAAACAGGAAATCAATTTTCATTTAAGACACAAATGTTTCATGTTAACCATTCAAATTAGATTGATAGAACCTGGAAAATTCGGAACGCCAGAAACTAATCTTGAGGGGGGTGTGTGTGTGTGTGTGTGTTTCCAGCTTGACATTATGCGGCATGACATTATGACCAATACGTCCACTCGTATAATTATCACAGGACACTCTATAGGGGGATCCATTGCCTCCCTCTTCACCTTATTTCTGCTTGAAAGCATTCCCCCGAAAGCCAAACGCCCCCTTTGTATCACTTTCGGCTCACCCCTTATTGGTGACTATGGCTTCCAACAAGCTATACTCAAACGCCCAACTTGGAATTCTTGTTTTCTGCATGTAGCCCCTAACTGTGATCCGATCCCCAAACTTTCCGTCTCAACTTCCCAAAATGGAAGTTACCAGCCATTTGGTACATTTCTCTTGTGTTCTGAATCCGGCTGTGCCTGTTTTGAGGAACCTGAATCAGTTTCAGAATTGCTAGTGGCAATGAGATCGGCTAGTGTTGGAAATCAAGATCCTAACCACTATACAAGGATTTTGGAACGCCTCAAGTGGAAGGCAATCTGTAAGGGAAGTTCAGTGCTGACTGGCCTGCTTAATACTCTTCGAGGAGAAATTGTCACACAGCTAGATGCAATAGGAATTAAGAACGTCTCACAGGTAACTCAATCCTATTTCTATTTGATTCATTCTTTTAAGATATTGTGTTTAACCCGTCTCAAGGTATAAATAATAAGAAGAAAATCTCAGAAAGCATTATTTAGACTCATCAAAATAATGGCATTCTTTCAGTACACTCATCAAAGCTGAAGCATGTAGATGCAAAATTTGTAATGTTTAAAATTTTGTGTCCTTTGATGATGTTTTACTTGTTTCTCACGTCATTTTTTCAAATCATAGCTGCAGCATTTGGGGAACAGTGAAATCAATGCCCTCATAACGAAAGTTGAAGAAAGAACAAAACATCTTGTACATCAGAAGAAGGCTGCTGTTGATCCCAACAAAAAACTGAATAATAGAAAAATAGACATGGCCAGAATTGGACGGTACAAGAAGGAAAATACAGGTAATAGAGGCTACTACAATAGTTACAAAGAGAAGAACTTGAGGGACGAAAGCCGGGAACATATGATCGTTTTCCATAAAAAACTCACCATTTACTGGAAGAAAATGGTTGAAGAGGCAGATAAGATGCCCCAGAACCAGAAGGAGGGAGCATCCTTTGTTACGCGCTGGCTCTATGCAGGAACAAACTATAGAAGGATGGTTGAACCGCTTGACATAGCTGATTACTATGGGAAAGGTAAAAGGGACTACATAACTCAAGGAAGATCTGCACATTATGTCTTGTTAGAGCAGTGGCTGAATGATGATACTAAACCAGAAGTTCAACGAAACAATGCAAGTGTGAGAAAAGCAGCTTGCAGTCTTACTGAGGATTCTTGCTTTTGGGCACATGTTGAGGAGGCTATTCTTTCATGCAAGTCATTCCAGGCTAGAGAAACCAGTCCGGCAGATAAAGAATCCTCAAGGGAGAAGTTGAAGGAGTTTGATCGCTACGCGATGAATTTGATAAACAATTTTGGGGTATCCACTGAGATTTTCTTGGAGCGGAGCAGCTTCATGCAATGGTGGGAGGAGTATGATAAGATAATGGGAACTGAATATAATTCAGAACTCATTCATTTCATGAGGAATCGCAAACATAAACAATATGTTTAGTGTTGGAAGCTCTTCTAACGCATAAACCTAACTAGTTATGCTTGTGTGAATCTTGTGTTCTACTATTATATGTTTATGGACTTGGCTGTGCCAATTGCCCTGTACTTGAATATTTTCCCAATTAAATAAAAAACGAGTAGATGATACTAAACCAGAAGTTCAATGAAACAATGCAAGTGTGAGAAAAGCAGCTTGCAGTCTTACTGAGGATTCTTGCTTTTGGGCACATGTTGAGGAGGCTATTCTTTCATGCAAGTAATTCCAGGCAAGAGAAACCAGTCCGGCAGATAAAGAATCCTCAAGGGAGAAGTTGAAGGAGTTTGATCGCTACGTAATGAATTTGATAAACAATTTTGGGGTATCCACTGAGATTTTCTTGGAGTGGAGCAGCTTCATGCAATGGTGGGAGGAGTATGATAAGATAATGGGAACTGAATATAATTCAGAACTCATTCATTTCATGAGGAATCGCAAACATAAACAATATGTTTAGTGTTGGGAGCTCTTCTGATGCATAAACCTAACTAGTTATGCTTGTGTGAATCTTGTATTCTACTATTATATGTTTATGGACTTGGCTGTGCCAATTGCCCTGTACTTGAATATTTTCCCAATTAAATAAAAAAACGAGTACATTTCTTTTCTTAATTGTCTCCTTAGTTCTCTATTCTCCTTTTGTTTTATTTTTATTTATTTATTTATTTTTGAGTAATGATAGAGAGGTCCGACAATTAATTTTATGTGAGTAAAGGCTAAATTCTAATCATATAGTATCCTAATAATTTGATTTTTCTTTAATGGTTGGATGTATTTATCTTCAGCTGTTCTTTAGAGAGTCCAGAAAATTTGTACATAATATTACATTAATTACATACAAATGTAGACTCCCTATAGAGTATAGAGAGTAGAACTTAATTTTTAAAGACAGTATACTCCCTATAGTCTACTTAAAAAATGTGTTTTCATGAGAGAACTAACAATAGGAGCACCCAGGTTTCAAACAAGTTTCTTAAAGTTCCATTAAATTCAATTAATTTTGTTGTAGAAATATATTTAAATTCATTCTCTAACAAAATAGACCCACAGTCAGATAACTAGTATACTTGAGCATTTAGAAAGCAAATGCTTCTATTTCTAATGTATCACAATGTGAGAAGAAAAGCTCTGTCAATTTCACACACAAAAAAATTCACAATTCTGACAGTCAAAGAACGAGTGTATTTGAGAATTCAAAAATAACAGCTTCTATTTCTAATATATCACTGATCAAAAAAAAAATGTCAATTAAAAAAATATATATATCATCAGACTCAAGATGTGACACCAGAAGGAGAAACAAATAATTGCACCAAAAAAAACTCAGTATCTCCAACGGTTGATCGAAGACCCAACATAAGGGTTATTGAAAGGTCTGCTGAAAAAGAGAGAGTTAGGGTTTGAGAGAAAGTGATTGTTTGGAAAATCTATAACCCAATAGTTAGGGTTTGAGAAAAATTGATCGCTTCGAAAAAATATATAACCCAAAGCCCTAATTTCTAAGTTCCATTGGATGCTCTAAATATTCCACGACACAAAATTCCATACCTTTATTTTTATTGTCGTGGTGACGATAATGTTTTGATCGGTGACAAAGTGATATGGTCCAGATGAACTGCCGGCGACGGTGTGATCGGTAGCAGGTCCTCTCTCTCTCTCTCTCTCTCTCTCTCCATTGACTATTGGCATTCAAGTTTAAAAATCGTGTGAGAATTGGGCGCACGGTGGGGAAATAGGGGAAATTTTGGGGGGTGGGGTGATTAGTCACACAACTTTTTTTAACAAGGCTTGATGCGATTCCTAGTTCAAAATTATCGGTTTCAGGCCCTCACTTTATATAATTTAGGTTATTAGACTTTAGGATAATATTGCCATTGCTCATGAGTTGTTGCATGTTCTTAAAACTAAGAAAATGAAATTTAATTTTCTAGCTCTAAAACTTAATATGGCAAAAGCATATGATTGTGTTGAATGAAACTTTTTATGTTGTATGATGAACAAAATGGGCTTTGCAGATCAGTGGATCAGTGGGTGAAGATTATTGGGGAATGTATCAATTCAGTCTCATACTCTTTAAAGATAAATGAGGAGTGTGGGATTGTTTTTCAACCATCTAGAGGCTTAAGGTAAGGTGATCCAATTTCTCCATACTTGTTTTTGTTTTGCACGGAAAGGTTGTCTCTTCTTTTACAAGAAGCAGAAAGGTAAAAAAACAAATTCAAGGGTGCATGCAGCTTAAGAAGTGGTTGCTCTGCTATTTCTCATTTGCTTTTTGCCGACGATGCCATTTTGTTTTGTCAAGCCATTCCATCGCAAGCAGAGTCGTTGAAGGACATTCTCACAAAATATGGTCTATTAACAGGCCAATTGGTCAACTTTGACAAATCTAGCCTTTTCTTTAGTTCTAACACACCCTTAGACACAAGAGACAATCTTAGAAGGGTCTTGGGAATTCGAAATGTCGATTGGATCAATAGTTATCTGGGCCTCCCTTCAATTATTGGGAAATCTAAAACTGATACTTTTAATTACTTGAAAGAAAAGGTCTCTACAAAAGCTAAATCTCTTAAAGGGGAATATATGTTTAAAGCAGGGCGTGAAACTCTCCTGAAATCGGTCTTCTCTGCTCTCCCTAATTGTTCTATGCAGTGCTTTAAGATTCCTCTCTCAACTCTGGATTTTCTGAAAAGTAAGATGAAGAAATTTTGGTGGGGAGGCAAGATCGATTCCAATAAGATTCATTGGGTCAGTTGGCAGAAATTATGTGAGCATAAAAAAGAGGGTAGATTGGGATTTCGTGACCTAGAAGCTTTTAATGTTGCATTGCTTGCGAAATTGGCTTGGCGTCTTGAAGTGGGTGACGATTCCATGCTTTTTAAGATCTTCAAAGAGAGATATTTTTGCAATTGTAATTTTATCAACTCTCCATGTAATGCTGGTTGTTCATGGTTATGGAGAAGTTTGGTAGCTACAAAAGAAGTGATTAAAAAGGGTATGAAATGGCGGATTGGAAATGGTAAATCAGTTAATGTGTGGAAAGATCTTCGTTACCAGGGAAAAAGAATTTTAACGTGTCATCCCTTCCATCTGGTAATGATATTCAATTGGTGGGAGATCTTATGGGCGGACACACTAGATGTTGGAAACGAGATTTGGTTTTAAATTCATTCACCCCTCTTGACGGTGAAAGAATTCTCCAAATTCCCATCTCTTTTGAAGATGCTTAGGACACAAAGATTTGGGGATTAACTGCTGATGGAAAATTTTCAGTTAAAAGTGCTTATTTTTTAGCCTTAGATGTGTTGAAAATATCAAATTCTTTTGCACCACCAGGGGAGGGTTGTAGCTATTCATCTCAGTTGGAAAAAAATTGGAAAGAGATTTGGCATTTGTAAACTACCAAAAAGGTGCAGTTCTTTATATGGCAATGTGTCCACGAAAAAATTGCCGTCAATTACAACTTGAAAAAAAGAAAAATTAAAACAGAGATTATGTGTAAGATATGTGGGATAGCAAAGGAAACAGTGGACCATCTTTTGTGTTACTGCAATTTTGCTCAAAGGATATGGAAATTAAGCCATTTGCGGTTGGATTTTTCAAAGTCAATTCGACAATTTGGCAGATGAGATGGCTTGCCTTGGTTGAACTATGGAAGAATGATGATTGTTATATGGAATGTGCAAGTCTCGCAACATACATTTGTTGGTATTTATGGAAAAACATAAACAACTTCATTTTCTTGTCCAAAATGATGGATCCTCAAACTCTAGTTGAAAAGGCCGTTTTTAACTAACATGAATTTTCTGAAGTTCAGAAACAAAATAAATTGTTATCCATTGCTCCTCATCATGCTCCGCTTCAAAGTCCTCAGTGGAGTTTTCCTCCTAATGATTTTGTTAAAGTTAATGTTGATGCAACTTTCAGTTCTTCTTCAAAATCATGTGGGGGTGGCTATGTTGCTAGAAATCATGAAGGGCGTGTTCTTAGTTTGGGCTCTTGGCTATTTCAAGATGTTTCTTCACCAGTGGTAACTGAAGGTCTTTCACTCCGAGCGACAATACAAGTTTGTTTACAATGGGGCTGGCCTAAAATTATTTTTGAAGGGGATTATCAAACAATTATGAAGTTGTGCTCATTAGAAAAAGCTTTGGCCACGATTGTTCGCGATATCAAGGTTCTTCTTCAACATAGAGAAGATTTTTCGTTGAATTGGGTTCTACGACACTGTAATAAGGTGGCTCATGAAATATGTAGATGGTCTTTTCTTTCCAATTTTTTTGAGCCTGTATGGTCCTCGGTTCCTGCTTATGTTGGAGAAGCTTTGCTAGGGGATTTGTGTTGATTTTTCTATTTCTTTGTTCTGGTTGCCTTGAAAAAAAAAAAAAAAAGAAACAAGAAAGAAAAAAGACTTTACGAGATCATTTCATAAAATTTAACTCATAATGTATAAAGTCATATGACGCAAGGATAACGAATGAGATAGGGACCAAATAAATTTAGTCACTAATACCTACCAAAACGACGTCACAGGCGACATTGCAAGAACCGCGGGAGTGTGATTTCTTTTCCCACCAAACAATTAGTGACCAACCTTATAATGAGGGGTGCTAATCACAGTCGCATTCACGACTATGGAATCTCAGTCGCTAGTTTAGTAATTGATGCGTGTATTTTCTTTCTCAATAATTAATTACTATTTTTATGTTAACGTCTTTTTGGGTCTCTCATTATATATAATTACTACACTAGCCTCCTAACTGAGAAACCAGTAAAAAAGTATTATAATCTGATTCCCTCTCTAAAATTATTTGATTTTTTCAAATTCCTATTCTCGGTTTGAAAAAAAGTATAATTTAGCAACGAAATTAATTTTGTCAGTAAAATTTTCGTCACAAAAGGTCACTTTTGTTACGTATCTTCTCTCTTATTTTTATCAATTTAAATTTATATTAGATGCTATGGAGGTAAAGGAAACACTTGGCACACGTAATCTTGAACCATCAATGACATCTTCATTTCTCACCATCTATCTTATACCAATATAATATTGCACTTGAGAGGCTCAAGATAAGCACTACACTAAAAAAAACAAAAAAAGGTAGATGAAGAGAAAAGGACATTTACCTTTTCATTTTTTTTTTCTGCTTAAACAAATCTAATATTAAATGACACAAAGGTCCCTCCAGATTTTGTACAAAACTGCAAATTAATGTGTATAAATTTTTATTTATTTATTTTTTATTACATTTCTTGTTTAAAATTTTTCCTACATAAAAATTAGGGATTATTACATATAAATGGGGTTAGGGTTTCATATTTACCAAGAGGCTGAGTCAAAGTCTCATATTTCTTAAAAATGAGGTTGACTAAATTGATGACATGGCACATGAATTATTACTGTTTAAAACTTGTGGTGCCTAAAATGCCCTTCTCACTATTCCAGCACATTTACCTTATTGCCCCCGTTTAATTTAGTCACTCAACTCTAAAGCATTGTTGCCCTAAAATACACAGTCGTGCGTCACAAATCCAGCGAAGCAAGCCCAGGCAAACACAGCATCACCGAACATGGAACCCTAACCCTCCCTCATCTCATTCGTGAAGAGCCCTTAAGAGCCCTCTCTCTCTCTCCCCCCCCCATCTCTGTAACAGGATTGAAGCGTAGCCGTTGAGCCCTAACCCTCATTCAAGCCCTCTCTCTTTCCCCCTCTGTAACAGCAAAGCACTTCTCCACGTCTAACCGTCGTTGGTGCGCCTTCTCTGTAACCCAGCGAAGCACTTCTCCACTTCTGCCATTCATTTATTGTTGTTCTAGTAATATGGTAAGTACTCTCTCCCTCTTAACACACACACGTTTATTTTTTAGATGATTATGGTCCTGATTTAGTGTTATAATTTTTTTTTTTTTTTTTCCAATTGGATGTCTGATTTTCATGTAGGTTATGTTTATATATATTCTCCTCTTATAATTTCTATTATGCAATCATATATATAGAATTTCTATTCTGCAATCAAGATTGTTGTTGCTCTGTTTGTTGTATATGTTTGAAATGTGCGTAACAAAATGTTGCTCTCTTGTGCGTGACAAAATTAATTTTTAAAACTCAATTTTATCCCACCAACAAAGGCAAAATTTTCATAAAGTAGATACTTAATTAATCAAATGTTTTTTTTATTTTTTATTTTTCTTCTTCTTCTTTTGTAATTAGGTTTGCTTGTTTTTGAAGAGTTCATGCTTTCTTTATACGTTGACTGAACTGAAATCCCAAATGTTATCCTACAATCTTTCCACTAGCATGGGTTTTCATACTTAAAATACTCGGAATTTGCTGAAGAAAACATAATTAAACAGGATAAAAAACAAATTTCCATGCATGTCCTTTGTTACCTGCTGAATTTTTTTTTTATAGAACATTAATCTGATCTTAAAACTTAAACATTGTACTGTTAATGCCTACCTGTGTATAGTAGAGATTCAATGTCCCTAAATCCAAATAATTCATGTTCTTTAAATTTACTAGGACCATGTGGAAGCAAGTGGCAGTACGTGTGGTGCCTACAGGCTTTTTGTTGGATTTCACTAGTTAGCTAACTAGCTTGTGCCAAGGTAACAAGCTTAAATCCTATCTTCATAAGTCATTTGCTCTGGAGACCTTATGATACAATCAATAAATGTAAACTGTAAAGAGGCATGCATGTGATAGTCTTTGGGTAGGGACACTTGTTATCAAATGTTTGTGAAATCTACATTCCCATTTGCATTTGCTTAGTAAAAGAATTGTTTAAGATTACTAGTATTGGTTCTACAATATTAAATTAAAAACAAGTTTTTCATACATACTATATTTGTTGTGGTTTAGTGGTTGAAATGTAATTAAATATAAAATTTGAGTTTGGTTCAATTAAATGAAAATGCTTTATAATAATTTCATGATTAATATCTTGGGTGTTAAGAATCACTAATAAAGATTTTAGTTCTCAATATAAAACAAAAGGGAAGAAGCTACTCTGTTTGGATCTTTGGACTGTGACTCAGAGATGAAGTAACAAATCTTCATGGTTATGCTATGATTTGTGCCTTAGCTTACAAGGTTGGAAGTCTTTGGTAAATGTTTTCACTAGGGAAACATAGCATTTTAGAGCATGTCAGTGATGGCCTTGGTGTCTGATAATTACCAACATTTAAATAAATTAGATAAATAATTCTTTTTAGTAGACTGATTGAATATGTTAACATTTTTAAACGATTAAAAAATTTAGTCTAAGATATTGCCATGCAATGACCAGAAATGGAAAAGATTTCTTCACCATCTGTTCATGAAATTTGAATGGTTTTAAACAACAAATTTCTAGATATGCTTTCCCCCCGCGCCCCCCCCCCCCCCCCCCCCCCCAACCGGTGAAGAGTGCAAGCTGCTTTATACCTAAGCCCAAATTCAGTTGAAAATACAAGACACGAACAATAATGGGAAAACTGTTATATGACCTTTACGTCTAAATTGTATTTACGGGAAAAGAAAGAGAGAATGAAAGAAAGAAGTAAATTTCGATCAAAATTCTGTCCAAGACTGATGCTTTGGAAGTTATTTAGTTTCTAACGAGATGAAAAAGAGAAAATATAAAGCAGTAGGTAGTTATCTAAACACCAGTTATATAAATAATAATAAATAAATAAATTAAGTACTTATTCAGTTTTATCAAAAGGGATGCAGAAAAACCCAAAAAGATAAACATATTGTCATAAAACAAGACATAGCATTGGTAATACTAATACCTCTTCGGGCGTTGATTCTCTTCTTGAATAGCCGAATTGGGTCATAACCCTCCAAACACGCCGCATAAATAATTATCCTGACATTGAAATTCAAGCAATTTTCAACCCATCAAAGAACCAAAACAAATAGCCCGAACTTTCTATATATATACACACACAGAAAAACAAAAATTGGTAAGAGGGGGACATACAAGGTGATCTCTCTGGCGGCTCTGGGGCTGCAAAACCTGCCACTCTCGTCAATTCTGGGCAGCATTTCTCTGGGAGATGAGAGAGAGTTTGCCGATTTTTCAAGAACTTCCCCAACAGCCGTGAGAGCTGAAGAAGTGCGAAGAGGAGAGCTTAATAGAGAAATTAAGCTTTCTGAGAATTAGGTTTTGAGTAGCATTCTATATACCATATCAGAATATGACACCTCTTTGCATTATTTGGAATCAAAGTAGAAATAGAAGTTAGAACTAAATTGAAGAGTAACACTACTTTTTGTATAAATTGAAGAGTAACACTACTTTTTTATCTAATATATTCTACACCCGTGCATATATATAAATATATTGTGGAACATACATATTAAATTGATGACTTAATATGAATGCCACAATTAAACACACTACCTTAGGGGGGGTATTCCCAAAGTTTCTCATTTTATCTGTTCGATTTTCTAATAATAGATAATAAATAATCTCCTATTGTGTACAGAATCACAACACTTACTCCAAAAACATATTATATATATATATATATATATATATATATATATATATATATATATATATATATATATATATAATATTGTGAGTTGAGTTGAGAATTTCACTTGATAGAGCTTTGATGTCAAATAAATAAAGAAAGACAGGTTTCATAAATGAGGAGTGAAGAGGTTGAGGGAACACTGACAATATTTCTTTGTATTTTGCTCTGTTTTGAAAAGGCTACATGAGAGAGCTCTCTCTCTCTCTTTGAGGTGGATCTGATTTTTTTGGTCCAAAACTCTGGCACTACAATCAAACCAAAGACACCACCTTTATGTGAAGGTGAATACGGATACTACATGTCTTTGCACTAGGAAAGGAATCAAAATCAAAATCAAAATCAAAATCAAAACAGCTAATGGGTGATTTAAAGTTTTCAATGGGAAACAGATAAGTGTAGTACTACTAAAGTCTTTTTTAAGAGAAAAGCCTTCAAACATGGTAGAGTTTATAGATTTTTGTGGGGATTGCTTTATTAAATCTGCCTATGCTCTTTTAGCTGCATTATATATTTTTCTCGCAATCGAGATATACATGGTTTTACCCCACTAATTCTCGGAGCTCCCAAAGAATTATTTGTACTCATGAAAGCGTAGTCTCAAAGAATTATTTGTACTTATGAGGAATCTAATTTTAAATCTGGTGCTTCATGTACTTTTATTTTTTGATTTTCAATTGTATCCAAACATCTTATTTTTTTATATTTCCATTAAAATGGTATATCTCTTTGATTTTGGATCATGTGTGTGATTATGAAATTATGTGTTGATTTGTAAGGTTGCTTTCAACTTTGGACAAAAATAAAATGAAATGCTC